AGTCTATGAAGAGCCAAAACAGAGACTACAAAATCCACGTATTTATTTCACTTTTACATTTAAAAGGAAATTCTCTGCTTACTCTAATTAAGAGTTATTTTTTAAAACACAGTGTTCATTTTAAAAAGCATATTGAACTACTCAGCTGACTTCTGGAAGGCAAACCCTCTTCAGGACGCTTCTCAGACTTCAGTGTGCACACGAAGCCCCTGGAGATCTGGTTAGGAGGCTGGTCTAACACTGTGAGTCTGGGTGGAGCCTGGGAGCCTCCTGCCCAGCAAACCCTGGGGGGGGGCAGCAAGCCCTGAAGAACACCACCGCCACCTGCTGGCAGCGAGTCACTCTGCAGGCCCGGACCCGGGAAAGGAGCCGGCTTGGGCTACAACCACCTGACAGGCCAGAAAGCAGCTCCGTGTATCTTTTCTTTATCCCAGGCATCTTTAGTGGCATCGTTCAGCTTCACTTCCTGATTTATTTGCCTCTTCCAGTCCTCACGTCAGGGATCATGCCTGGGCACAGGCAGTTCAGGGGCAGCAAGGACAGGGGAAGCCAGCTGAGCAGGAGGAGTCAGCAGGCACCGCGGGGCAGGAAGGAAGTACCAGCCTGCAAGATCTGCAAGGAGCCGAAATACCAGCCTGCAAGATCTGCAAGGAGCCGAAATACCAGCCTGCAAGATCTGCAAGGAGCCGAGGCACCGATCCAGATGGGGCGGCGCGAGCCCGGCCCACAGAGGTCCCTGCTTCTCTGGTGCAGGTGGCCACGACACTGCAAGATAGTAAAGCCCATTCCCACTTATAACTTCCCCCCTTAATCTCCCAATTCTGTAACATCTCTTTATTAAACAGGTCTCATCAATTCTGCTTAAAACTCTGTCAACGCATGTCCATTTCTTGCTTTCGTTTAAAAAGCAAAAACAAACAATAACAAAGCCCCTGCTGCCTACAGAGCTCCTCCTCCTCTGGTCACATGGACGCACTGCAGCACCCACGTAGGGGACAGCAGCCCCGGGGCCTCCTGAGTGACCGCAGCGGCTGAGACCCAGGCTTGCCTGGCCTGTGGCACCCCTGCCCACGATGTTCCAGCCGAGAAATCACTGACTTTACTGTCTCCCCCCCATCAAACTGTTTTGAAATATTTTGTTTCCCTAATTGCAGTGGTTAAATAATTCATTCCTCACTTTTTATTAATCAAATAACTATATACCTCCCAATAACAACTTCTGATCAGCATGGACTAATCAGCTTTATCGTACTGAGAGGATGTCACTTCAGCCAAGAGCGAAGACACTGCCTCCCATCAGTGTGCGTGGCCGTCCACAGTCTCCGGTCAGCGTCTCCCCTCCTCCATCGTCACCTCCACATGTTCGCAGGGGCCCAGGGATACTAGCTATGACCGTCCTACTCATCCTCTCAGCACAAAGAAAGGAGAAAATCTGAGAAGGCCACAAACAAATACGCCCGTAGATGCACCTGGATAATTCTATGGCTGCCTCACCCAGAGGAGGGAAGGGGACTGGTACCAATTTCTCACCCTACAGCTGCTGCCCCTCAGCGTTGGCTCTGCAGATCCCCTCACACCTTTATAAAGACCCAGCACTCAATTCTGAAAACGGCAGAATGCGAGCGAGAGAGAACAGCGTCCTGAGACTCCCTCAGTCTCAGTGAAGTCCCACGGCCGGGGCTGCGCCTTCATGGTCTGAGCGCAGGAAACGCGCCGAGGGCCTTCCCAAGCTCGGCTGGGAGGTCACAGCGTCTGGAGCCTGTAACTACGGCCGAGGCAGAGAATTCTAGAAGGGTTACGGCAGTGGGTACTAGCCCGCATGCCCAGGACCTGGGTGCCCCGTGAAAATCTGCTATGGGCGTAAATACATGAATATACCCTGCTTCTTGCTGCTTCTTTTTACTCTTTTCGTTGACTCTCAGGAGGCGGAAAGGGGGGGATGCACAGGGAAGTGCCAGGAGAGAATCAGTAACAGAGCCCCTTCCACCCCTCAGACTGCAAAGTGGACGTAGCGTTCTTGATCGACGGGAGCTCGAGCATTGGCAGGCGTCGATTCCGGCTCCAGCAGCAGTTCCTGGCTGACGTTGCCCAGGCTCTGGGCATCGGCCCGGCGGGCCCGCTGATGGGTGTTGTTCAGTACGGGTAAGTGCGGTTCTGAATTCAGAGACCAAGTGAAGTCATGCACTTAATTTTGTGCCACAAATAATGCGGACATATCCCAGAGCATAAATTCATTCTCTTCCCTCATACTACGTAAATGAAAGAAACTGAAGCAACCCAGGTGCCATCGGAGAAATCCAAGACGCCCAGAAGGGACAGATTACTAAGCACTTGTAAGAAAGTGGCATTTGTACTCGTGATTGGTGGAGAGAATATTTACTTGGGAGGTAGGACCTCTGGGTTCAAGTCTTAGCTGCGTGGTGTGGCCTCGAGCTAGGCCTTCACCTCCCCGGTCAGTTGCTTCATCTGTAGATCACGGCTGACCTCTGTCAGCCTTGACCGTTAGAGCATTTGTGTGACGGGCTGCAGGCTGGGCTCCCACGTGTAAGCAAGATGCCTAGACAACTTGGTGCTTTAGGTTAACTCTCTTTTCTCCAGACAACCTTAGGCCTTAGCACTGGTCCTGGAAAGCTCACCAGGCCATGCGGAGACTGGGCGGGAAGGGGAGGAGCCCATCACTCAGCTGAGCACCCAGTGACTCCCCAATCCATTTTATTATTTTAGTTAGAGTAGAAAGTGAGGGTTCACATCAACATCCCACATGCTACTTCTCTCCTCTCTGAGATGGCAGGCGAGCCCTTGAGCCACACGCCACAGGGACACAGTCGCAAGGCTGAGTGAGCTGTGGATATAATTCGCACAAAAATCGTATCCTTTTCCATCCCCTGCCCCCGTGCAGCCCTCCCAGAGGGACAAATGCCACAAGGCCTGACATGACGTCCTCCCCTTCCACGCAGCGGCTCCCCTTGGGCTCCCTCTGCTCGTGCACAGGGCTTACCCCGGCCCCCCGGGATCATTCTCCCTAGATCTCTACATCCACAGAGAAGCAGATGGTCACCCCAGTGCACATCAGAACCGCTTGGGGAGCTTCTGAAAACTCCCAATGCCCAGACCAAACCTCAGATCAATTAAATCGGGATTCCTGAGGGTGGCATCATTAATTTTCAGCTCTCCCCACGTGATTCTACTGTGCAAGCCCAGAGTGAAGGCACAAACGTTTCCTCAGGCCTGTGCTGTCCTCCGGGGAACCCCAGGCCCCTGGCCCTCCTGTCTCCCCCAGGTTACCAGCCTCGAGGGCCCCAGGAGCTCCACCCCTGCCTTTTCTCAGCCTTCCCCTTCCTCCCTCTAGACTTATTCACCTTCCTCTTCTCACCGGCAGCTCCACTGCTGATTTTCTTGATTCATACAGCGTCTCCTAAGACACTGCTACTCAAAGCGCGACCCACGATATCATCAGGGAGGTTGTTAGAAAGGCAGATCTCAGCCCTCACTCGATCAACAGAATCAGAATCTATATTTTAGCAAGATCCCCAGGTGATCGGATGAGTTCGGGAAGCTCTGCTGCTAGGACATTCCCTGTCCCAGGACATACCAAGCCCCATGACATGGTTACAGACCAGACCCGGGAGCCCGAGGTCCCCCGAGGCCGGCAGACGGCACGACCGCCTCCCCTCCAGCAGGAGGCATGCAGGTTAATTTTCCACTTTTTGGTGGATGGGTGGAATTATTGTTACTAATTATAAAAAAAACTCTCATCTAAAAACTAAATTTGCTTATAAGTCCCTGCTCTGCACCTCTGATCCTAGGAAACGTGAGGAAGGCCAGTGTCTTTCCAAAAGGGGCCAGTGGGTTGGCCATCCTGCCCGGCGCTCAGAGCTTGGCGCAGCACAGTTTTCATTCTCAGCCGGTACTGCCCTCAAGGGACAGGGCTGCCACCCAAGCTGCAGCTGCCGGCGTGTCCCCGGGAAACCAGGGTCACCCTAGAGCATCTTCCTGACTTCATAAGCACTGTTCATCTCGGTGACTTAAGTCCCTAAATCACCACATTTTAGCCATTAAGAAAATTAAAAGAGTAAGTTAAATACAATTAGGTTATTTCATTGTAACCTTAAGTTGATGTCTTCTTGAAGGAAACCATTTTGAAAGGTTCTTGCCACAGGGACTATGATTAGTTAATATGTCTCTACTGGCACAAAAATTCATTTGAGAAGCTCATTTCATGTGACTAAACGTCTTCTGGGGCAAACCAGTAGACTCTGGGCCTTGAACCAAACGGGAGCCTTGGGACTGAAAGGGGCTTCCAGGCTCCTCTAGACTCCAGGCCTTCCCAACCTACCTGAGGATAGATTCACCTGGGTCCCTTCTTTAAGAAAAAATTCCCAGACCCCAATCCAGACCAAGTGAACTGAGCTTCTTCCAGAAGGAGGCCTAGTAACCTGTGGAGATGAATCAATGCCCCAGGTGAGGCTGATCGGCAGGGAGGTCTGGAAACGCCGAGGAGCAGCCCCAATTCCCTACCCTCAGGCCCCCAAGCCTTCCTAGGAATCACCTGTGCCCATTTCCTCTGGGTGGTTTCTCTTGTCGAACACTTCAGGGGAATCATTTTCTATTCCACAAATAATAGGCACAGCCAAATTCCGGATCTCCACAGTGGCTCCTCACGAGCCCTAATGCCTCTTCCCAACATAAAACAACTTTACAGCTTCTCTTTGAGCTACAAACATTTCATTTTTTTCTCTCATTTTCAAAAGAGAGCTTTGATATTGCTAAGAAAACAAGTGTTTTCCTTTATTAAGATCTCGTAATAAAAGCACAAGTTAAAAGGTTATTTACATAAAAACATAGCGGCTTACCTCCTGGAGCTTTTCAAAGTCCCCGCCTCTGAAAAGTAGCCAGGCTGGGGCAGGGCGTCAGGCCACCAGCCCATATATCCTGAAAAAGGCCACACGCACCGTGCGCTCGGTGCCCAGGGCGGCCCGGCTGCAGGTGAAAGACCATTCACGCCTGTGATTTAATCACATTGCAGCTTAACAAGGATTCATTGAGTGTTTCCCACGCACTAAGCACTGCGCGATTTGCAGGGGGAGCGAGGTGAACTTCACCCAGCTGGTTTGGTCCCACTCGCCTCTGGGTCCCTTGGGGGATGAGCCGTGGTTTTGCGCCTGAGCGTAATTTTAGCAACTGGAAAGAGTTTCAGAGGTCCTCTGACCCAACCTTTCAATCCAATAAAACTAAATAAATAAATGTGATAGAGATCCTGTTCTTCAGGACTTCGCCATCTAGGGGAGGCAGTATTTTTTTAAAGAAATAACATTAAGTAAAATTAAAAGCATCTATTCACTGGGGATGTGAATAGCTCATGTGTCTGCCTCTGAAGATGGATTCACCTACCTCAGTGATGTCATAGAGGGAGAGTGTGGGCCCCGTGGAGTTCAAGGCAGAGTGTTCAACTCCACCCGGGGTGATCCGAGAGTGGGGAGGACACTGAGCTCTTCCCTCACTGGGTTCTTCCGCAATTATCTGTTACCCCTGCAGGGTGAGCACTGGGGTGGGAGACACTGTGCCTGTGCTCAAGGAGCTTACAGTCGATCTTCATAATTCACAGATTCCATATTTGCAAAAACAGCTACTCCCTAAAATGTACTTGTAACTCTAAAATCAATTACTCATGGCACTTTCCCAGTCATTGCTAGACATGAACGGGGGGGGCAGTTTTTGAGTCCCTCAACACACACGTTCCCGCCGAGGTCAAACAAGGCCATGCTTGTCTTTCTTGTTGCAGTTCATACCGTAAACAACTGTTCTTTCTACAGCCTGTTTAATGCCACAGTTTTGGCATTTTTGTGCTTTTATGTTGGTCATTTCTCTATTTAAAATGGTCCCCAATGACATGAGCAACACAATTTATGATTAGCTGTGATTTCTTTACAATCATCAGGGTGAAAGTGGTCAAAGGTAGAAACTTCCAGTTATAAAATAAGTCCTGGGGGTGTAATGTACAGCCTGGTGACTATTGTTAACAATACTGTACTATATACTTACAAGTTGCTAAGACATCTTAAAAGTTTTCATCCCAAGAAAAAAAATGTAACTATGTATGGTGATGGGTGTTCACTAAATTTATTCTGGTAATTGTTTCACAATATATGCATGAATCAATCATTATGTTGTACACCTAAAAGGAATAGAATGTTATTTATCAATTATATCTCAATTTAAAAAACTAAATATATAAAATAGCCCCCAAGTGTAGTGGTGTAAGGCAGTCTAGGGTTTAAGTGCAAGAAGGTTGTGATATGCTTACGGAGAAAACACACATGTTAGATAGGTTTCCTTTAAGCATGAGTTACAGAGCTGTTGGATGTGAGTTCAATGGTAAAAAAGTGAGCCCGGCTGGTGTGGCTCAGTGGTTGGCATCAACCTATGGACCAGGAGGCCACAGTTTGATTCCCGGTCAGGGCACATGCCCAGGCTGAGGGCTAAATCTCGGTGGGGGCTGGGGGACGGGGGTGCAGGACACTGCAGATCAATGACTCTCATCACTGATGTTTCTATCTCTCCCTCTCCCTTCCTCTCTCTGAAATAAAAATTAAAAATTAAGTTAAAAAAAAAAACAATGATTCAATATATTTCGAAAAAGAAAGGAAATTTGCTCAACTGTATGTGAGTCTGCTCTGAAAAGTGCTAAAGTAACATCTATATTACATGTTGAAGTTATGAAAAAGTGGCTGAACTTATAAATTCATGAAATGACAGCTGATTTTTAAAAAAGCACAGTGGGTAGCTCTGTGAGGCTGAAAGCCAAAGATATTTATGTAAGCATTACCCAGGTCAGGAAAATGTTAAACCCTCCTCAGCTGGTGTTTTATTATACAGAAATATTGCATATAATTAATTATTTGTAAGAAACATATTAAATTAGGTTTCTTCAAACAGAAACATACATCAATCAAGTTTACGTATTGATCTATTGAAGCAAATGTTGTAACCTGAGGCCCACAGGAACCTAACCCTGTATTTCCCCTGGGAGCAATGGCTCAGCATTTGCTAATTTGATGTTCACAGTGACTTTATAGAACATAATTATCACAAATAACAGAGGCTCCATTGTTTATGTAGTACAGCAAAGAGACAGGCAATCAACAAGTGCTCTACAAAGTGATCAATATTAAGACAACTTCCACACAGGGGGAGCACCACAGGTGTGCCTAGGTCACTAGGTTCCACATTTAAATAGCTTTTCTCTGTAAAAACTTTCTAAAGAAAATTTTATATTTTTTGCTTTTTAAATTATTTTTCTATGAGCAACACAATTTATGATTAGCTATGATTTCTTCACAATCATCAAACACACTCAGGAAATCTTACAAAGTGAGAAAATATAGCCCACAAAGCATTTTCAAATGTAATTAAAATTTTATGAGCTAAAGTTTTTACAGCTAAAGAAGTATAGTGTTATTTGGTAGACAATTAGATATATGTCATGGTCAATATCAATTTTGCCTTTTCTTATTTTGTAGCTGATATTATTATTTTTGGCTTCAACTTTTTCCTTTTTGGCCTTTTTGAAAAAGGTTGTATTCTTTGGCTACTAAGGGAAGATCCAGGCTTGAAGGACCCCGAAACTTATGCAATCTGGGGGTTCCTTTAAGGGAAATACCATAAAATTACAAATACAAAATGGGGCCCTTTAGAAGAGGCGTCCCTCTCATTCTGGTTCGCCCGCCTCTGCCAGGCCCTGGCGGCCGCTGGATAAAGCGCCCGCGGCAGGGCCACTCTGGGCACAGGGATACCAGGCAGGAAGCCAGGGCACAGCTCCGGGGGGAGATGAAGGTCCGGACCTGAGAACAGAGAGGATGGGCGAGAGACAGGAGCTGCGGAGAGGCTGGGCCCTGCGAATTCCAACCTGGAACTGCCTCGACCTTTCCCTCCTGGACCCACTTTTGGTGTTTGTGGAAAGTCTCCTTCGCCCCCTCCCTGGGGGCTTAGCAACCTGCAGCGGGGCAGCCACATAGTTTGCAGGGACCCTTATTCAAACGTTATTAAGGAGTTCAAGGCGGCAGCATCAGAGCACTGAGGCAAGTGCAGGCCCTTCGGCAGCCCCGGGCCCCGTGTGCCCTTAGGAGCCACAGTCCCAGGAGCCCTGCGGATGGCTGAGTGCCCCGGCTTCATGGGATGGGCTTTTCCTGCGCATAGTGCTTCCTCCCGGGGGTGGGCTCCCGTGCGCCTGACAGCGCCTCACCCCGCCCTGCGTGCCCCCGCCTGCTCGTGAGGGGCCCCTCGCACCCTCTGCTCCGCTCAGCTGCTCCCAGGCCTGTTGACAGTTTCCCAAGGAGGCTCCTCTCTGGAGAGGAATCATCACTGTTCCTCCGCTTGACTTGCTCCAGCTCTTCTCCGGCTCATCTGTGCCAGGCTTCGACGAAGCAGACGTTGACTTTCTCAGGGAGGTTTGAATAGTCTCACCCAGTGCCAGGAGTTACCACATGAGAAAGCCGGAGGGATGGCTTTTGCTTGGCACCACCGCTAAGATGCAGGGCAGGGGTGACCCAGGGGGTGGCTAACAGCTGAGACGTTCCTTTCTAGAGAGGGGGCCTTGGGGCAGCCTGGGAACATCCTGACATTTGCAAAATCCCACTTGACAACAGTCTACGGCTCAGCAGTATGACTGTGACGATCTCTGGTTTTATCTAGATGAAGAAACTGAGGCCCAGAGGAGCTGAATGGCTTCTCAAGGTCACATAGCTAGGAAATGACAGTCAAAACTAGACCCCACACCTTCTGAAGCCTGAACCAGCCCCATTTCCTTCGCACACACTGGGGAGGAGCTCAGCCCTCCCATCTCACCGTTACTTCTGTCCACAGCGGGGGATTTTATCGAGGCAGCTTCCANGCCTTCTGAAGCCTGAACCAGCCCCATTTCCTTCGCACACCGGGGAGGAGCTCAGCCCTCCCATCTCACCGTTACTTCTGTCCACAGCGGGGGATTTTATCGAGGCAGCTTCCATTCTGTGCGTATATAAAAGAATTGACTATGATGTCTACACTCCTCCAAAGGTAATAACTGCCCACCTAATTTTTATTTCTTGTTCTGACTCTTCAGAGACAACCCTGCTACCCAATTTAACCTCAAGACTCACATGAATTCCCAAGATCTGAAGACAGCCATAGAGAAAATCACCCAGAGAGGAGGGCTGTCTAACGTAGGTATGTGATCCGGGTTCGTTCTCTCCGGCTCCCATGGCTCTCATCCTACATGATTGTCTTCTAGCATTATAAATAGGAGGGAAGAATAATACTAATCCACCGAGAAATGATCTACACGACACCCGTATCTTTTCCCAAGTATTATCACGGGTTCGGGGGCGAGAATCATTATCACACATAAGCCGAGAGCTCCAGCATGCCTGCTTCCTTCAGGACAAGCAGGGCTGCTTTGTGACTGTCCCGACTGGTCTACCGGCCTCCGCTGTCCACATTCAGGAAGCTTCACTTGGGGATCTTGTCCTCATCTGTTCCTGTTAAGTGATGACTGTGCCAGGAGAGACGTGTTCTCAGGCCCCTGTGACGTCTGAGCCTTGAGGGACGGGGTGCCGCAGGAGTCCTCAGCCAGGCAGGCCCAGAAACTGCATTTTATTAAGTTACCCCGGGAGTGACTGGGCACCAGGAAACCGTTTTTACACTAACTGAGCTTCAGGGCTGCCAAGGAGCCATGCCGATGTACTGACTTATAAACGGTGGTCTGGCTTTGGGGCACAGGGAGGGCTGATTGTCCACTTCCCAGGGAACGTTCCTACCCTCGAAGTCCAAGGAAATGAAGAAGTGAGCCGTAGTCACTTGGCATGAAACACACACAGGGAAACAAGCTCCAGCTTCCAAAGGTGGCTTCTAAACACTTCCTGCAGACCCAGGGCTCCAAGACCAGGAGTCCCTTTCTCAATCCTGCCACCACAGTCTCTTCAGGAATCTGCTTCAGCCAGGAAGCCACGACGATCGGGAAGCTCCCGATACCTCTGCCAGCTCCCAAACCACGCCCTGCCTGCTCCGCTCACACACCAGCCTCGCCCCCTCAACACCAGCAAAGCTGGGATCATCACAGGCGCCTCCACTAACACTATCCCAGGGCAGTCAGACCCTACAGATGCTCGTCAGAAGAAAGAACAGAATGGAAAGAACAGTCTCTGCCTCAGTTTCATCGTCTAACTCTCATGTGTGTGCATCAATCCACGACGCGAAAACAAACCCAGAACTGTGGCTGCAAGAGACTCAAAACTGTCATTTTCAGGTTTCTAGCCTCTGTTTTCAAGACATTCTGGAAGGTGGATGGAATGTGTGTTGAGCACTCATTGACCATGGGTGCGGATCTAAGGTTGGGTAAGGTCAAGGTGATCTTATGGCTCCCTGTGCTCTGCCTACAGGCACCTAACCTTAGGCCAGATGCCCTTGGTCCTTGAGGGAGACTATGCTTTAGTTATGAAGGCAGTCCTCGGCACCCAAGGTTTTCCCTCAGCAACTGTGCTCTACGCAGCCAGCTCACATGGGATCTCCAAGACATTTGTCCAGCAACTGCACATATTGATCTTTTCATTTGACAGGTGAGATCATACTGGCCAGTGGAGCCAGGATGCTGGCCAAAACCAGAGGAGCACTGAGTGTAATGACGTTAATCCTAAAGTCTTGAGAAAGTAGTTCTTAACTTTTATTTAGATTGAAGACCCCTTTGAGAATCACCGGAAAGCTATGACCCTTCTACCCAAATAGATACTTATATAGACGAAACATTGCAAAATATCAGAGGATTTATGGATACACACCCCCAGTGCCCTAGGGATCCACAGAACCCAGGTTAAGGGCCCCACCTTACTATGCACAGCTGTGCTGACTTGAGGGTTACCAGTCATCCCAGTTTGCCCAGGAGCATATGGGCCTTTCAGTGCTGAAACTGGGAAAGTCCTGGCAAACTGGGACAGTCACCCCAATTGACTCCAACACTTTCCTGAGGCCCTTGACAGTACAAAACATGTGCTTGGGAAAGGCATGCTGGAGGCTTCCTTATATCTCTCAGTTGAGGCGGTTTATTGTCATGGAAATCTAGGCACAGAGACAGGGAGGGGCCTACCTAGGGCCACACAGCCAGTAGGCAACATAGCTGGGGCTAAAACACAGTGCCTCGGCTCTCAGTGGGTGCAGTGCTTCCCTGACAAGCCACACCTGTACCCCTGGCATGGAACTGGACAAAAGGTGTCACTGAACCCGGAACACAGTCCTCCACATCCAGCAGCTCCTGGAGCACCACCAGCCTCACCCCAAGCTGCAGGAGGCCAAGCAGAGGCTCCTCTCATTCAGTCAACTCCTCCCACCCCATGCTCTGAAAAACAAGATGGGGCCAGTTTAGGGGAGGTCCTGGCACCCAGGACCTGTGGAACTTCTTTGTTCCCATGAAAGCCTTTCCTGCCTGCTTGCCGGTCCCCTCCAGTTTGTTGTGTTGTTGTTTTTTAATATGAGACAATTAGAAGCTAAAGGCTTCAAGTGAAACTGGGGAGAGAAATGGATGGTGGTGATGGTTCCATAACACTGTGAATGTTCATAACCCCCTGCACTGTGCACCTAAAAATAGTGACAGTGGTAAACAAAGCAACAAATGAGGGAGGGAATGAGAGTGTTTTTATGCTCCTATGATCTCTTCCTATGATTATAATGGGCATAGTGGCACCAAGCATGAGTTTTCTTCTTCCTCCAGGCCGGGCCATCTCCTTCGTGACCAAGAACTTCTTTTCCAAAGCCAATGGGAACAGAGGCGGTGCTCCCAACGTGGCCGTGGTGATGGTGGACGGCTGGCCCACGGACAAGGTGGAGGAGGCCTCCAGGCTCGCCAGAGAGTCCGGGATCAACGTTTTCTTCATCACCGTTGAGGGTGCTGCTGAAAACGAGAAGCAGTTCGTGGCGGAGCCCAACTTTGCGAACAAGGTGCGTAGCTGCCCGGAGACCCACCGCTGTCAGCATTCCCTGCACGTGGCAAAGCTGTTTCTTGTCCCATCAAATGGTCAAGCGGGCGTTAAGCTCACTGCGAGGCGGGAGGGCTCCCCTGAAGGACAAGGACATCGGAAACCTGGAATTACCCCGCAAAGAAAACTGAACTGAAGCACAGCACTGAAAGAGCAGCGTCTCCAGGGTCTCATCAAGGGGCTGTCCCAGGCCCCTGCCTCCCTCCCCAGCCAGGGCCCTCACCCCAGCCAGGCAGCCCATCCAGCCTTCTCAGGGCCGTGCACACGGGCGCCATACACTAGCTCACGCATGTGCACACGCACACACTGCAAATTAACCCCTCTGATAACCAAGGAAAGGGGGCATTGAGCCAGGCCAGGGAGGCTGTTTTCAGACTCTGCTCCCGGCCGTCTGCCGTGACGCCCACACACAGGCCCGTGCACCAGCCGCGGGTCTCCTGCCCGCGCCCAGCACCGCACTCTCTCCCGCCAGGCCGCCCGGTGCAGGCCCCTCCTCTCCACCCACCGGCTGGAATTCAGCTCAGCCTCCGCGCTCCGCTCGGGGTCACCTAGTCCACGGAAAGTCCTGCGAACCCCACTTAGGCTCTTATAAACCGATTCAAAGTATTTCCTAAGACACTTTTAAATCCTTCTTGGTTTTAACATAAATGTTTAATTATCCGAGTTCATCTGGCGACATCAGGTCTGCGATTCTCCACGGCCCCTGGAGAAGCAGCAGAAGAGGACATGCCCCCTCTAGGAACACGGCCCGTCACCACCGGAGCGCACCGCCGGTGGCTCCCTGTTAATTCGCAGCTGCGTCACAGTTTTTCTGGAACAAGCTTGGGGACAAGTAAATAAATACTCATTTGCCTGGAGGCAGGGTTGTCTGAAGGACAGTGACTGGGTTTTCAAGGCAGAGAGATTTACTGTCCGGTCTCAGGGACTCGGGGATGTCCCTCCCCTGCTGGCCCTGGGTTTGTCCCTTTAGGACAGAGAGGTTATAATTCCAATTTGCAGGATGAGGGTGGGGTTAAATGACAGACTCTCCAAGAGCATGGACTGCAACAGCTGACACATGGGGGACCCCTTCTCGCTGGGTGCAGGGCTGCTCTGGGGCCATTTCTGTAGCTGCTTCTCGGGTGTGCCTTGTCTTCCCAGTCAGAACGAAGCGCTCTGTAACCCCCCAGGCGCTGGTGCCCACCAGTGCCAATCTCGTGGCCGGCCGCCAGCACAAATGAGCTGGCAAATCTGCAGAGACTTAAATAGCTGGGCACTGTGAAGCCACTGCAGAGCCGGGCTGAGGGGGAAGGGGGGGTTCAGAGATCCCCCTAGGGGTCCCCCCCAGTGAGTGCCAAACTGGGCAAACCCAGAGGGAGAGAGAGCTTTAGGAGAGCTAACTAGTGTAGAGAACTGTTAGCTTCTCCCCGGCCCTGCTGGTCCCGGGAATCGCGGCAGGCTGGAGGCTTGAACCCCTGACCTGGCGGGCGCCCCCCGCCCTGTCTTCCAGGCCGTGTGCAGAACGAACGGCTTCTACGCGCTCAGTGTGCCCAGCTGGCTCAGCCTCCCCAAGAGCGTGCAGCCCCTGGTGAAGCGGGTCTGCGACACCGAGCGCCTGGCCTGCAGCAAGACCTGCCTCAACTCGGCCGACATCGGCTTTGTCATCGACGGCTCCAGCAGCGTGGGGACGAGCAACTTCCGCACGGTCCTCCAGTTTGTGGCCAACGTGAGCAGGGAGTTCGAGATCTCGGACACGGACACGCGCGTCGGGGCCGTGCAGTACACCTACGAGCAGCGGCTGGAGTTTGGGTTTGACGCCTACAGCACCAAGCCTGACGTCCTCAGTGCCATCAAGAGGGTGGGCTACTGGAGCGGGGGAACCAGCACCGGAGCCGCCATCAACTTCGCCCTGGAGCAGCTCTTCAAGGAGTCCAAGCCCAACAAGAGGAAGCTGATGGTCCTCATCACCGACGGCAGGTCCTACGATGACATCCGGATTCCCGCCACGGCCGCCCACCGCAAGGGTAAGCTGCCCGCTGCCAGCCGGCCGCTGAGTGGCCCGGCGGGCCGAGGGAGGGACCGTCTTTTTAATCCCACGCCCCCGGTCACTGCGCAGGAGGGTGTGGCACATGAAGAAGGAATTTGCAGAAAACTAATGCTTTAAAAGAAAAGTGCTGTTTCTGTAAGTAACTGCTAACCAGATGTTGGCTGTTTGGGGGAGGCCTCAAAGAAATGTCTATTCAAAATATTTAGAGATATTTCCATATAAAAATTTGCAAGCGGCCAACGAAACTTTAAAACCATGAAAAATATGTCGTTGTAAATGTTTAGAAAATCAGTCACACCCAATGCCTCTTTCACAGAATCTGTGCATAATCGCCGTTTTGAAAAGTGTCGTAAAATATCATAAACATACAAACAGCCTGGAGAAGAAAAACACCCCAAGTGACAGCAATAATAGTAATAATGACAATAAAAGTAAACGGAGCGGTCAGCGAACACCAGAGACCCACAGCGGGGACTAGTGAGCAAGATTCAGGCGGCGCGGGGTTGTTTACATCCCCTGTTTTCTTTCTCCTTCTTAATTTGGGTTAGTCTGCAGGAATTTTCGGCATTTCTTAAGGCTGCTTTTAATCCTTCCAGAAACAAGGAGGGGTAAAACTAAGCAAACAGGCCTTAAGATGAACCAGCCGTTCTGACTGGAAACCAAGTCACCAGACGCCGGGTTTGGGCAGAGTCTTCCCGTGATTTACCCCTGCGGGGCCGGGGGCGTGCTCATATGGCAGGATGGTAGACGGCCAGCACTCACAGTGTCCCTTGGGCTCATGTCAGCATCGTGAAGATGGTTGAAGGCTCAGAAGCAGCCTGTCCAAAGTTCCAAAGTGAGTGGGCAGGGCCAAGGGGCCCAGCTCTTGACTAAAGTCCAGGGCTCCCCTGCTTCCTCCAGCCCCCGTTCAGCTCCACTCTCACTTATTTTTCTAGATGTCTCTCCTTCGGGCCTCAACCAGAGGGGGTCCTTGGACAACTCCTCATCAGAAGTGCATACTGAGAGAGATGTCCTAGGAGCCATCGGGGCCACCTGACTCTGGGCAGCTCTAAAGAACTCAGACCAATAGATACAAATTACATGGAGGCAGCAGGCACCGTGTCCCTGGGATGTCTGAGCCAAGGCTGGGCGAACATCTGTCAGAATTGCCAGTACAAGGCTCTCTACAAGGGTGGGCTCAAGAATCTGAAAAGCTACATTTTTAACACCGTTTACGTTATCTTTATGGGGGGCAGCCTTTTCGTCTTTGAGCAGAAATGAGGCCTTAGTCAGGCTAAGCCAGGCCCCTTCTGCTACAAAGCTGTTTCTCTGTCACTTGCCAGCATCTTAAAGCCCAAAGCTGCCTGTTCCCAATGTAGACAACATTCAGAGAAGACACTGGAGAGGTAAGGAGAGGGTCTGGCAGCTTAAATGCAGTTTAATGAGCCACAGTTGAAAAGCAGCTTAGACCAAAACCATGTGAGGTGTGGAAGGCTCTGCGATCAGCAGGACAGGGCACCCAGGAGCCCCTGGGGATGGTGACATGGGCCTCTGTGGGTGGCTGGGGGACAGGTGCCTGGGTTCTGCCCTCTGGTTCATGGCATCTTGCCCACCCCACTCTGGCCAGCCTGGAGGCAGCGTGGGAATAGGCGTTTGTAGGGTAAGGTCAAGTACCTGCTGACCAGCTGCCCCCAACGCAAATCAAGAACCACACACCAGGCAGTCTCCCTGATTTCCCATTGAGAACAGACTCCTCTCTCTGACTCTGTCCTCTGCTCCCTGGGGCATCTTGCTCCCTGTTGTAGTCCAAGCCCTTTAATCTCACTATCTTCTTTCCCATTTGCATCTAGACATCCTCTAGTCTCTCCCTTTCTAAACAATAAAACAACTTTCTTTGACCCCACGTTCTGCTCCAGCTCCCACCGCCTCCTCCCCTTTCCGGCCACACCTCTGGAAAGGATGAGCTCTATGTGCTGTCCCTTTTCACTCTCAGCTCATGGCAATTCACTTGGTTTCTTTGGCATCTACTCCTCTGAAACTGCTCTCTCCAGGCTACTCATGTCTGATTTTTGTTTTTTCCTAAATCCAGTGAGCACTTATTGGTTTTCATCCTACGTGACCTCCTGCAGCACTCAACACTGTTGGCCTTTCTCTTGTCTTTAAATCCTTTCTGCATGGCGGTGACAGAGCAGATGCTGGGTGCCTCTCTCTCCAGGTCCTGGTGCAGTGTTCCCGCACTGGGAATGAGCTCGGGGTTTATGGTTTGTAAAGTAACCCTCCAGTGAGCCTAAAGTCATTCAAGGCCACTGTCTTAGTTAAAAAGATCTTGGACTGTGTTTTGATGCATTTAAGGCTCTCTGACATTTTGTTTGGCTCTACACACAGGTAGAGCAGGCTGGTGCTATGTGGTATGATCTGCATGGCACCAAAATTTCACCTGTCCCAAAATATCATCCCCTCTGCTGCTCATGGATATGAAATTCTGCTCATGCATTTACTGCATTCTGTCTGGTTTATTTCCTCAAAAGACTAGAAACTCCTGCGAGGTATCAACCATACCTACTTAGTTACTGTAGGCATATAGCAGATGCTCATGCTTTGGGCACATTTCTGGTTTTGGACTTAGCTGCGTTCCAGCACAACAGCCAGCAGAGCAACAGAAGGCAGGGATTCATTAGCAGCCCCTTTTCTTGGGCACGTCTGCTTCACCGAAACTTTGTCCCCACAGGAGTGATCACCTACGCAATAGGCATCGCCTGGGCTGCACAGGACGAGCTGGAAATCATCGCCTCTCACCCAGCCAGGGACCATGCCTTCTTCGTGGATGAGTTCGACCACCTCTACAGATCGGTCCCCAAGGTCATCCAGAACATTTGCGCAGAGTTCAACTCCCGGCCTCGGAACTGACCTCGGAGCCGGCAGGCGCTGCCTTCCTGAGCGACCCGGGACGACGCCCAGGGCCTCGGGCCTGCGCAGGGCAGCGAGGCGCGTGGGCCGGAGAAGTGCTGTGTCACTACCGTTCTTTGCCAGTGTGGCTTTTCCACACTTCTAAACCTGGAGCTAGGAAGATGGTCATAAGTTTGCAGAATGAGCCTAAATGATGCATCCTTTTGAGGGTGCTGAGGGTTCCACATTTTGACAGTTGTTTTCAAAATAACTATTCAGGATCGAGTACAGCACTTATGACAGGCTCAGCCAAAGCTTTTTTTTTTTTTAATTTTTTACTTGTCATTAGAACTCTGTAACCCTCAACAAGTTTTATTTTTGTCCTGACAATGTGGGAGTTGCTTAATTAAATATTTAAAGGGATACCTGTGATCACTGTGTGTCGTGGGTAGCGGTCACAGTATCTGTATCAGGGCCACCCTCTGCTCTCCTCCTTCCCCAGTGCACTTGCTGTGCACCCACTCCCGGCCCAAGGCGGCGACACACCCACGGGGTGCAGAGAAACTGCTCCGCAACCGCAACCACTAGCTATAGGACCAGTTGGGAAACGGCCCTGGAGAACCAAGTTGAACCGGCTTAAAACTGGCGCATTGAACTGGCACAGAGGCTCTCAGCCTTCGCTGCACGTTAGAATCCTTGCAGACTAAAATGCAACCTGGGAACCCCCAGAAGAATCACAATTAGAGATGACATTGGAAAGTTATGTTTTGTGAAAATGTGTGTTGAAGAATGCTACTCTGAATGGAGGCAAAAGGTAGTACCTGTGTAAATACCTGGGACAAAAGACTTACGTAAAACATTTTGAATTAAAGTTATCATCCATTTATCAGAATTTGCATAAAGTTTACCAAATCTCTCAGTACCTGGAGAGAGAGTATATCATCAATTGAAAATGTGGGCTACAGAAAAGAATCCATTAAATGTGTCAGCAATTTCAAATTTATTAACCATAAATTTAACTTTAAGGGCAATTGCAAACAAATATGTTCAAAAACTTCAAAATATGGAAACTATTTTCAAAAAGGAAATGCTTTGTAAAGATACCAGTGACACACCTTTAGTGAGAGATTCTAAGAAACTAAAGAGCTTAAATAAGTACTAAGAACAATCACTCTGCCTATATTTTTAAATGTGTAGATAATTGATATAAAGGAGTTCCCCCCCCAATATCACTTCAATGTACACACACAAGTAATTTAATTTTTTTAAGAAAAATTTTCTTTTGAAAAATAGTTCTGAGTATAATTATTTTATAGGGGCCTTGTATAAAAACCATTTGTTGCCCAGCTGGGCGTGGCTCAGCAGTTGAGCATCGACCTAGGATCCAGGTGATCGGGGTTTGATTCCCGGTCAGGGCACAGGCCGGGGTTGCGGGCTTGATCCTCAGTGGGGGGCGTGCAGGAGGCAGCGGATCAATGACTCTCTCATCGCTGATGTTTCTATCTGTCTCTCTCCCTCTCTCTTTCTCTGTCTGAAATCAATAAAGATATATTACAAACAAAAAACAAAATCCATTTGTCATCAATAAGTAAATATTCCCCCAAATAATATACTTTTAATTACTTTGGTATCCTCTGTCATTCCCAAAATGTCCTCGTCTAGGAAATAAATTATATAGTCACCCTAGTTACAGAAATTATAATTTTGAAGATAAATGGAACCTCCTCAGATGGGCCTGTGGTCTGTGTTGTCAGTAAATGTTTGGGTGTGGAGGAAGCATCATCAGAAATGAGGTGGCCGAGGTGCTCAGAGGCCACGGTGTCATCAGAATTGTCAGGGCGGGTGTTCACCAAGACGGTGACGGGAGTCAGGCTGCGGAAGGAAAGAGGGAGCCAGGCTCTGGTGTGTTCAGTGAATGGGAGAAGGTGACTGGAAGGTTGGGAGAAGGCGGCAGTGACAAGAACAGAGGGCTGAGGCCAGACCTTCAAGGGAAAGGGGTGCTTTGAGGGGGGAAGAAAGGGAGCTTGGAAGAGCCCTGGGGGCGAAGAGCAGGCCGATCCCATTCCAGGCCTGAAGCCCAGGCGGAGGGCGAGGCAGCCTCCACTCAGAGTGGCAGCAACCAGGGCTCAGGCAAGTGAGGGCGAGAGGGGCTAAGGGAGCAGCTAGCTCCGGGCGGGAAGGCTGGGGTGGCCGAGGCAGGGCCGCTTGCACAGAGCAGTTTGGAGATAAAGGTCCTAGTGGTGATGGGTGACATGGGAGGCCTGGGTATAAATGCCACCTTGCTCAACCTGAACTATGCCCAACACTGCCGGGGAGGCACTGAAATCTTACACTGCAAGCAGGACCTGAGAGACAATTCATGTCAAGCCCCCCAATGGCAAAAAGGGAACCCAGACCCGAAGAAGGTTGTGCAGATATGAAGGGACAGGACCAGAATTCAGCTCTCCTGTCTTCCCATCTACTGACTCATCCAACTGCCTTCTTTTGGGTTTGTACGCCCCCTTCTCTCCCCCATCCCTGCCCTACACACACACCTGGTTCTGCACACTCGTGGGCTCTGGTCCAGCCTTTGCAGAGCTCTCTGGGTCCTGCACACTTGGGGCCAATCTCCTAAGGCGACTCTCATCCTGTGGTCTCAGCAGAGAAGCTCTTCATGCCCTGCCCCCTCCCGGGCAACCGAAACAAGCAGAAAAAGCTCATCAATGGGTCCCGCTGCTCCGGGCGCGTATAAGGTCCGAACCCCACTCACGGTCTCACCTCCCAGGAGTTAGGGCTCTTTGAAAAAAGTTTCTTTGCTAAGAGTTTTGCAACAAGGCTCTGCTAAAAATTTGCAGCCACGCTGACAGGGTTCAGATATTTCTTGTTTCGTTGGGCTCTTTAAGCCCCTTTGAACAGGACAAAAGCTGCATGAAGCAGGTCTGCCAGCAGCAGTCTTGGGGGCCTGGCATGGGTTTATGAAGACGAACAATGCTTCTGTACCCAAGGATTTGCAGCCTCAAAGAGGAGTTCCCAAATAATAATATTATTTTCCAGTCACAATCTTAAGAGAAGTTCTCCTCTTAGATTACCAAGACATAAATGTATCAAGTAGGAAATATGCTTGAAAGCCTGAATTCAATTACTTTGGAAAAAGACATTTATTCAAGTAATGCCTTTGAGGGGTTCACAGTTCAGTGGAAAACCACACACAAATGAACAATTAAGATCGCGTAATTAATATGGGATCATGTACAAAGTGCATGAAGGGCGATTGCCAACAGCCTCCTGAGAAATCAAATCCCAGGGGTGCCTAACAGTGAGTGTTCGCTGCACGCTGGGCATTGTTCTCAGGGCTGCACATGTATCCAGTCGCTTGTCCCTATGATTTGCTGGGAGAGGTACCATTACTATTTGCATTTTACAGATCATGCACCTGAGGCATGGAGACGTCAAGCAACTTGCCCAAGGTCATAGAGCTGGTAGAGGCAGATCCTGGAATTAAACAGAGGCAATCCGAATCCAGGGTCAATCTACTCAACCACTTTGCTTCTTTAAGTGGTGGTATATGAAATAACCAGTGGCTGCAGAGGAGGTTCTCTAGTAAGCTTGACAGCTTAAAATATATGTGTAATTCTGCAAAGTGTATTTTCAGTATCTATTAAATGTGCAGTCTATTAAATGTCCAGTGCAAACTGCATGTCCCTCCATCACTCCTGACCCTCTGGACAGCCATCCTGCCCTCACTTGTGATGGGTGATTTTAATCTATAGTTTGTAGTCCCTGTAGCTCCTTCATCCTCTTGTTAAACTCCTATTCACCCTTCAAGTCTCAGTCCAATTGCCACCTCCTCTCCGGAGCCCTCCCTGACCTGCTCAGACAGACATAGGCTCTCTGGAAACAGAATCTTCACCCACCTATCTTCCAGTGACCTTTTTAGCCCCTTCTCATTAGGGGACACAATCCATACATGTCCTCAGGAACACTTAATACAGGGAATGAGCGCTAAGTCTAGGCCTGTGTCTAAGTCATCTGACAGCGGCAACCCCAAATACAGTGGCACTGGCAGGATGGGAGGCAGACGCTTCAGGAAGAGGGAAGCAGGATGTGATGGGAAGAGAGAGAGGATCTGATTCCGTCCACACTGCACCACTCTCTCAAATGCCCTCCTGAGCTTCAAAACTGTACATTACAACCACTGTTTTCTAGAAACAGAATCTTCTTCGAGTATCTATCCACAAGGTAACTTTGTTCCTTACCTTCTGCTCTTGTTTTTCCTACAGAAATAACAATACCAATTTCTTTTTTTTTAATGTTTTTATTGATTTTTATTTATATATTTATTTTGAGAAAGAGGAAGGGAGAGGGAGAGATAGAAACATCATCGATCCACTGCCTACTGCGTGCCCCCTGCTGGGGGTCGAGCCCCCAACCCAGGCACTTGCCCTGACCGGGAATCAAAATGGTGACCTCTTGGTTCCTGGGTCGACGCTCAACCAGTGAGCCACACTGGCTGGGCAACAATTTCAATTTCTGTTTACCTTCATGAGTTCCACTCGATAAACATGCTTTAAGCACTTATCATGTGCCAGGCACTGAGGTAGGCCCTGGGGTGCAGAGATGAGTAAGACCCAGTCCCTGCCCCAGGAGCTTAGAGGCCAGGGTGGGAGAGAAACGCACAAACAGATAACATCTGACTATCATGTGACAGTGACAGGCAACCTTGGGCTGGCTTCTGTCTGCTTTAGCCAGATGAAGAAAGATGGAAAAGGTGTCCCAGCAGAGGGGATGATGGGAGCAAAGGCAAAGAGGATGAAACAGGTGACACACAGAATGACAGCTTGAAACTTGAGGCAGAGGTGTCAGGGATGAAGCTGGAGAGAGGCAGGGGCCAGGCCATGGAAGGTTGTGTTGGTTAAAGTTTTCTTGGTTGCAAGTAACAGAAACTCAATTCACAGTAGCTCAAGCAAAGGGAGAATTTTTGGACGGAAACTGGAGCAGGTCGTGAACTCCAAGGCCCGGGAGCGGGACAATCAGCGAGGCCTCTCGAGCGACTCTCCCCCAGAATGAGCGTCCTCTGGAAACTGTTGAACAGCCCTGCAGAGGGAACCAAGTGAGGCTCCCCCAGCAAGGACGGACCCCACGATGCTGCCTCCTTCCGCGGGGCCGCCAACAACCACATGCTTCTGTCTGATCACCTTGCCATGAGGAACCTTCTAAAATTCCTTGAAGCATCGAGTCGTCCTGAATGCTGACAGATGCACATCCGTAAGTGCCTGAGTGTGGAAAACCAACTGCAGGCTGATAGTCTTCCTCTCTTCTACTTAGAAGCTTTACCCAAGAAAACCAGTGACTGTCTCTCTGACTCCCCTTCAGTTCTCTTGGCCTCAATGGCTACAAGATGTTCCTTGTTTATAGACCATTAGACGCTGGAAACTGTGAAGTCT